AAAAAAATATATATATATATATATAAACACAAGCAAAGAAAAAATAGGGTATTACAACTATTTGCAATTAATATACTTAAAGTAAGAAGAGAAGTGCATAGGCCCAAATTCTCAGTTAATTTGAAAGATAGTTTAATCTCACTGTTAATGAAAAACATTATTTTTGCAAAAATATGGTAAAGAAATAAAGAAACTGGGGCTGGCAGGTAATGTGGAAGTTGGGATGTTGGATTCCCACGTGGCTGATGGCTGACTCATGGTTAGAGTCCTGGCGCTGGCAACTTGCTTTCTCACTTTCTCTGTCTCTCTGGTGAGCATGTGTAACCTGTTCAAACTTAATAAAATAATAATAATACAATCAAATAAATAATTCTTTAAAAGAGATAAGTAAAGTTATAATTCCTGGTCAGTGTTAGAGGTTAATATAATAGACAAATACTCTTATTACTGCCAGTAAGAATGTAAACTGGTACAATATTTTTTGGGAATTTGAGTTGCAAGCAAAGCCTTAAAACAGGCAATTTCAGGGACCAGCAGATGGCAAAATGGTTATGTCACTGGACTCTGACATGGCCAACCACGATTTGAGTCCTGGACCCCATGGCTTGAAACTCACGATGGGCAGGTGTGTGTCCACGTCCAAATTCCCAAGAAGAGAATGGAGGAGAAGGGACTGTAGCATGGCCATCCCCCCTATGGTGGTGATTTCTGGCTTTCTGTCTCTATCTCTGTCTTTCTAGGTAGCACACATACCCTATATCAAAAGTCTCTCTCAAAAAAAAAAAAAAAAACAGGCAATTTTAGAAATTCTCGGGACCAGCAGGTGGTGTGGTGGTTAAGGGTGCTGGATTCCCACATGGTTGACCACGGTTCGAGTCCTGGACTTGGCAGCTTGCGTTCTCACTTTCTCTCTTCCTCTCTCCCTCTCTGGTCAAATTGAAATAAACAAATGAATAAATAAACGAATAAATTAATTGAAAATTTAAAAAAATCAATTCTCATAAAATATGAAAGACATGGACATGTTTGTTAACTTTTATTCCAATAAACTGGGAGACCCCCCCTCAAGCATACATATAATAAATTGGGCAAACATGCACACATGCCTGGAATGTTTTTCAAGCTACTGAGTCTGGGATTCAAATCACTTAGTCATACAATAAAGCATGACTAAATTAATATTTATTTATTTATTTTTTTGGAGAGGTTTTCACTATAGGGTGCGTGCGCTCGCCAGACAGAGAGAGACAGAAAGCGAGAAATCACCCCCCAGGGGGGCTGGTCACGCCGCAATCCCTTCTCCTCCATTCTCCTTTCGGGATCTTGGGCACGCACACACCCATGCCCGGCGTGAGTTCTAAGCCACCGGGTCCGGGACGCAAACCGCGGTCGACTACGTGGGAGTCCAGCGACATAGCCATTACGCTAACTGCTGGTTCCCAATTAAGATTTATTATGATGAAACCATTTAAAAGGCTCCTATGTAGCTCTTATAAAGATGGGTGAATATTTTAATTCTAAGTTTCATGAGGACACAGTCCCCATCTAGTATAGGTTGTTTTTACTGTTGAACCCCTAGAGCAGGGAATAAGGTCTAGGGCATAGGAGTTTAATAAATGTTTGTTACATAAATGAAAAAGTAATGTGAAGTGAGAAACAAAACTGTATAACATGTAGTTTCTGTTGAAAGTAGGTATAGGAAAAACTGGGAACACACAAAACCAAATGGGGAAAAGAGGTCACGGGCAATTTGCAAAATCAGCTTTATTGAAGTATACCATAAAATTCACCCATTGCATGTATACAGTTCAATTACTTCATTTATACAGTTGTGCAACTATTCCATACTCAACTATCCCATAACCCATACTCTTGCTTTTCTGTATTGTAAAGACAGACTTATTCTTTGAAAGGTACTCCTTTGCTTCAAATTGGGGTCGATCTGAACTCGAAATAAGTCTCCTTGAATTTGACAAAAAGCATCTTTCTAGCACAAAACGGGTTTTAAAAGCTGCAGGAAGGTCTTTTGCTGTCAGTGTGGTGAAACTTTAGGGGTTGAGCAGCCATGATACTGCACAGATTGTGTTTGATGTGCTATACAGTACAGTCATTATGCTTGATGCTTACTACTGCAAATAAAAGCTCCCACAGAATAACGAGTACTGCAGCAGTTCCCAACGAAAATAGTTACTGAATGGAACCAATGCGAGCAACTGCTTTTCCGGTCCTCAACCCTTCTAGCCCAGTGGAGTACGCAAGCTGCATACGTCTGCAACCCTCCTGGATGGCCCTTGGCCGCTCCAGTCCCTAGTCTGTCAGGGGTCCCGAGAAAAGGACCTTTTCTGAAGAGTGGGGAGACGGGGGGTATTCGCTTAGCGCCCTGCTGCAGAAAATCCTTCGGGAAGAAGCCGACTGAGATCGGTTAACGTCTAAATTCCCTTCACAGCCCGGCTCCCAGCGCCCCGCCTACGACTTCCTACCTGCAGAGAAGCACAGCAGGGACACCCGGTGCCTCAGGCGGGCCAAGCCTAGCACAGTGGGAGCAAAGAACATGGCTTCATCATCAGGATGCGCGATCACTAGGAGGGTTCGGCTTCCAGTTCCCAGGCCTTCGCGCTCTCGACTCTTCAATCCTTCTGAAGAGCCCCAAATCCAGAGGACGCTCCCAGCTAGGACCGCCACCGCCAAACAGAAGAGCCCAACTACTTCCATGCCTGGTAAGTGGCATTGCGCCTGCGCAGTAGGAAAGGCTACCACTCACCGAGGCTCCGGCGAGAAAGCTGCACCCACTGAAGTTGCGTTCCGTTTTTTAGTCCTTCCCGCCTACGGGTTCGGGCGGCTCGAGGCTTTTAAACTCGTGTTTGTGTTGTTTACATGGAGCCCTCTCCATTTTTTGCAGCATGTACGGTCTCGTGGTTTCAGAGCTAAGCTGAGCCTTGCCGTCCAGTTTTCTATGCTTGTCCTACATTACAATGGATTTAAAGGGACACGTTTAAAAATAAGTTCCCAGAATATTTCTCTTTTCAACGAATCATTTTCTAATTGACTTTTTTAAACGCGGGACTTCGTCACTACTTGGATAGAAAAGCCTGTTATCTGAGGGAAAGTTTTCCAAAGCAGCCAGATACACTTAACTCTGTTTCTGCCTAGCGCTCTTATTTTGGGGTAGGAACAAGCGTCATTTCAGCTCGAGCAGGGCTGAGTGCACTTCACGGTCGCGAGGCTGCGGGCTCCTCTGAGGAGCGACACCGTGGACGAGCCGGCC